AGGCAATCTTAATAGCACATGTGTTTCTGGATTGACAAAGATTGACTGGGAATAATTCTGCTGCAAAATAGTTCTGAGGCATGTACTGGAACACAATTTATTTTAACACTGAATGCTGTAGAATGCAAATATCATGATGATAATGTGTGAATTTGTTATACCTGTTTTCAAGGTAATGAACGATAACAACAACAAATGTATTTATAGAGCGCCTTTCATGTTGGGAGGACATCCCAAGATGCTGGACAATCAAGGGGTTGCACCTGAGCTGGGGGTTGGATACAAGAGGGATGGGACAAAGGGGGTGGGGTGGGAAGATGACCAAAGGTGAGGTTAAAGGAGGTCTTGAGATGGACCTTGAAGGAGCCAAGCGAAGAGGTAACGTGAAGGGATTCAGGGAAGGAGCTCCAGAGATTGGCAGTAAAAAGGCTAAAACCCCAACCATTGATGGTAAGCCGGGCGAGGGAAGAGTAGGGAAGACCGGTGAGCAGAGAGTTAGCATAATCAGCATGGAGGTGATAAACGCATAGATAACGGTCTCAGCCTAAGGGGAGAGACAGTAGCAGAGGCAAGAAATATTGCAAAGGTGGGGGAAAGCTGAATGGGTCAAGGCACAGATATTTGGTTTAAATATCTTTAAACCTCCCTCCTCCTCTCCCTCATTAACACACAGCTGTAACCAGCTCTCTCCCTGCTTCTGTGAGTTACTGGACAAAACTACAGGAGCCAAGATACTGAATCTTTGTGCTTTCTCTCTTCAACCCCACCCCACCCCCCAAGCCCCCACCCCCAAGCCCCCACCCCCCAAGCCCCCAAGCCCCAGCCCCAAGCCCCCAGCCCCCAGCCCCCAAGCCCCCAGCCCCCAAGCCCCCAAGCCCGCAGCCCCCAAGCCCCCACCCCCCAAGCCCACACCCCCCAAGCCCCACCTTGAGGTTTGTGTGCATTTCCTACCCCGCTCATGCTCACACAGTATTTAAAAAAATAATACTAATAATTTAGTCACTCAATCCACGGCTGTTTGTGGGACACTGCTGTGCGCAATTGGCTGCAGCGTTTCACCCACAATATGCACAGTCACTACACTTTACAGTATATGCTGTGAAACGATTTGAGATGTCTCGAAAACATGATAAGGTGCTATATCAAATGCAAGGATTACTATTAGTATTAGTATTATTTTTAAAAGATGATTGATTGTCAAACAAGATATTGAAGTTGTATTAGTTTACTAAGGCGGAGTGTACATCCAAGTATAGTGATGCTGTCAGCGTTAGAGGTGAAAATATCCTCACTTAGCCAAGAAGGAGAACCTCGGTTTGTCAACATTCAATTGCAGACTGTTAGCTCTCATCCAGGAATTAATGTCCAACAGGCAATCATTCAGGACAGCAATGTTCTTGTAATTGAGGATGGAGACAGAAGGATAGAATTGGGTTTAAACTTGAGAGAAAAAGCTTTTCTGATCTGAGCTGCTCTTACTTTAATATTTCTCATGTTGAAATTCATAAACTTATAGCTTGCTACTTCCCTGGCAATGATAATCGGATCCCACATTACTTATCTGTGAAAAATACACAGTCTCGGCCAACTCTGGCAATGATAAAATTGAATCCCACACAGGTTAAGTCTTCTCTAGCAATGAGAAAGTGATTCCACAGATCAGACCTACTTTCACAATGATAAAGTGATCCCACAGTACTTATCTGAGGGAAAGCACAGGTTATGTTGCAAGAGGGATCTTCTACTTTGTCCATCTAATTTCATGTGTGATTTTTCCAATACTGAGTGTTGTAGATCCTTGGCTTTTAATTCACAGCTGCATAGGAAACTGTTGAGACGCATGCAGAAATATAGTAATATGATTAAAACATTAATTTCAATTTCTTTCAGAGGATCTTTTTAAAATTGGTGTACAATTCTTGTAATGCAGAGGAGCGCAGGCTTTAAGCAACCACTTCAAAGTTTTAGTCTGAAATATTCAACACACACACGTCTTGGGACGTCCTCCTGACGTGAAAGGCACTATACAAATGTGCAGTGCTTAATAAAACAAAAAGTCAAAAAATTCAGTTTTATTCAATACCGGATCTGACATGGATCATCTATACTCCAAATCCTATGTAACTGTGGTGCTTAATATAAGGAGTAGTTGCAACAAGCATTCAATCCTGAACAATAGAAACATTATTCCATTAAAGGAATACAGATCAAGCCCACCAAATTCCATAAGTGTACCAACCTTTGGAGAATCATCCCTAATCTATCTATCTTAATGTCTTATCCTATTCAGGTAAAAGCTTAATCATCTGTCCATATCTATTAGGTCACCTTTTCCTTTCAATGGAAGTAATGTGAGTTCGCAGATCAAATGTCTGTGCTGTGATAAATCAAACTCTGCTCTTTGGTATGAAAGATGGATGAGCCCTTGGACCTGCTTTATTTGCAGGTCAAATAAGAAACGATTTGGCAAATGTGACCTTCCAAAGCAATTTGATTTGGATGAAAGAAGCTGAAGGTAAGAAGAACTCAAAATTCAAATAGTGCTGACATTATTCTACTCCAGGCTAAATCTATTTCCCAACCATGGAATGGACAAACTTTCCCAGCCAGCTTTTAAAATAAAAAATTATGGAGTTCCCTAACAAGTGTTGTTGCCTGAGGTGGTTGATGAGAAGAAAACCACTGTAATAGGGACTCAGCAGACTTGAAGAAAGTCTTTGATCGAAGGAGCTTTGAAGTTATTATGAATGCCTTGCACAGTGCTACATGACACATCACAAAGCCAGGTCTTGCCACCAATTGACAATCAGTCATCATTTCAAAGGTGGTTTCCTGGATATCTTACCTTATTTTTCAGCGCCTTGGGATGCCTCCCGATGTGAAAGGCACTCCATAAATGTAATTTTGTTGTTGTGTTATTGTTGTTGTTTTGCCCTTTAAGTTCTTCTAACTAATGCCATGGCTTTCAGAGTGCTTGCTTAAGGCATAAAGTTCCATGAATCAATGGTTACCTCTGAAAGCCATGGAATTAGTTGGAAAACACTGAACAACAACAACAACAAGATTCCATTTATAGAGCGCCTTTCACGTCGGGAGGACGTCCCAAGGCATTGTACAGTTGGGTCAGGACCCGAGCAGGGGGGAAATGGTCAGGGTGAGGGGAGGGAAGGGAGGGAGCGAGGAGGGGTTAGAGAGTCGAGAGGGGAGCTGAAGGCACGGTCAAAGAGAAAGGTCTTGAGACCGGCCTTGCAGGAGGAAAGGGAGGAGGCAAGGCGAAGGCACTGGGGGATAGAGTTCCAGAGCCTAAGGGCTGAGAGGCTGAAGACCCGGCCACCGATGGTTGGGGTGGGGAATGTGGAGCAGACTGAAGGTAAGGAAGGGTACCCATGTCAGATCTGACCATTAATTTGTTATTTGCTCCTACTTTGTCTTGCTCCAAGTAAGCAGTCCAACATTTAAAGGTAGTTAAAGTGAACATTATGTAGAATCCATGGTTTGAAACAGTTTTGAGCATTAGAAAAGCAAACAAAATGATGCAGAGTAAAGCTTCCCTAGTTTGTTACATAGCATGTGGTAAATACACAGTAGTGTATATCTAATATAGAAACATAGAAATCTACAGCACAGAAGGAGGCTTTAGCCCATCAAGTCTGCACCGGCTTACAAAGCAAAGAGGTCCCTTCAATCTCACTGCCCCGTCTTATCCCCATAGCCCTTCAGCCCCTCTGTGACAGTTTTGAAACCACAATATTTTTGCCCTCTGCAAAATGGCCAGTTTCGATAATATCCACAGTTAGGACTAAAATTCTTCGCTTTCCAAAAAGGAACAACACTGTTCAGGTGGCATTTAAAGTGACCCCAATGAATTGATACCCAGGCACTAGAATGTGCTTCTAGCCACTTTCCTTTTGCAAAACGCTTCCCGTTCATTCCGCATCAATGAGAAACTCAGCACTTTTTATGTGAATCAAGGTTACTAGGACGATCTTCTTTTCCCTGCAGTTTTTGTTAGGCATCATGCACTTCAAACTTGTTGTCGAAACAAAGGTCACATTATTGGGAAAATAGGACAATTTTCAGCCATAAATTCAAACTCTATTACAAAAGGCTGAAAATATCCCGCAAACAGATCAGACAGACTTCAGCAATGAAGTAGTCATGACCCGCTCTGCCTTCCCTCACCTCCGTAACATCGCCTGACTACGCCACTACCTCACTCCTCAGGTCGCTGAAACTCTTGTTCATGCCTTCATCACCTCCAGGCTCGACTATGCAAATGCCCTGTTTGTCGGCCTTCCCAACTCCTACCTCCACAGGCTACAGATAATCCAGAACTCTGCAGCCCGTGTCCTCTCCCGCACCAAACTCCGTGACCCCATCTTCCCCATTCTCGCCCGACTTCATTGGCTCCCTATCCTTCAGAGGATCCAGTTCAAGATCCTAACCCTCACCTACAAAGCCTTCCATGGCTTCGCCGCACCCTACCTCTGCGACCTCTTAACCCTCTACCAACCCGCCTGCTCCCTCCGCTCAGCTGGCTCTGGCCTGCTCCACGTCCCCGACCCACCTGCCCCACCATTGCCGGGAGAGCCTTCAGCCACTCTGCCCCCAACCTCTGGAATTCCATCCCCCAATCACTCCGCCTCACTCCCTCCTTAGCCTCCTTCAAGTCCCGCCTCAAGACCCTCCTCTTCGACCATTCCATCAGCCACCCCCCTTCCCCTGCCCTCCCTTCTCCCCCCCTGACCCCAGCTTGGGTCTGAAATGCTGTACACTGTCCAGCACCTTGGGATGTCCTCCCGACTTGAAAGGCTCTATACAAATGTAATCTTGTTGTTGTAATGTCTTACAAATAAAATACGAAACAACTAGAATTTGAACCTAAGTATACTGTGATATACTGTACTGTAAATCAGCTCAGCATCTGCAAAGATGAAAATGTAAGAAGAATAAAAATAAACCCTTTTAAAGAATTTAGTTTGTTTTCTTAAGTACTGTACCTGTATATGGAGACATTTTCTACCAGTCCATTCGTTATTGTGTCATTCAATAGAATCCCCCGAGGAGAAATGGTTAGAGTAACCTTACGGAATTTCTTCCCGCTTGCTTTTGCCTAAGAGTTAAATTAAAATAGTTTAGTTACTTTAACAGTACATACATAGGCTGACAGTAAGTAATATAATTCTCCTAACTTTCTGGTTAGTGTTTTCATATGTAGTTATTCCAGTTATAATTATAAATTATAATTTTGAACTTTTTTTGTGCTACAAAAGATGATGACTTAATAAGGTTTAAATAGCCTTGCTAAAGAACCAAAAATAACCTTAAATTCTTGAGCTGTTTTATTATGTGAACTCGATGATAACATAGTTGCGGTGTGATCCCATTTACCGCGCCTGTGTGCATGATCAACTTATTGTGCTAAAATGGTCATTATGTTGTTACCAACATCACTTCCTGTTAGCTGGACATGCGCAAAGCAGGAAGTGATAATAATAATCCTTGCATTTGATATAGCACTTTTCACGTCTTCTAAACATCTCAAAGCGTTTCACTGCAAAGTGAATTGATTGTATATTTGTGAGCGAAACGTGGCAGCCAATTGCGCACAGCAGTGTCCCACAGACAGTCGTGGATTGAGTGACCAAATTATTATATTTATTTTTAGGGATTATTATCCCAGAAAAGCAATCCACCAATCAACTGACAACTGGGTTCCTACTTACTGCTAGATAAACAGAGGCATGTGGAGTAAGGCAACTTGCCCAACATTTCGCCCTGCCAGGAATAGAACCCAGGTCTCCCGCTTGCAAAGCGAGTGCTCTAACTCCAAAGTCCTGTAACTCAATGACCCAAAAGTCAACCATTTAAATTCCTGGGCTAAAAAGATGACATGACCACCCACAGTACTCTGAACCATAACACTACTAACCACAGTACTCTCAACTATAGCTATTCCAGCCACAGTATTCTCAGCTATAGCACTACCAAACATGGTACTATCAACACACTAGCAACTACAGTACTATCAACTTCAGTCCTATCAACTACAGAACTGTAAGGCTTAGCACTATTAACCACAATATTATCAGTTATAGCTTGCTCAACTACGGGATTATCAACAAGGAGCATTTTAGGCATATTAATTAGTTCTAAGCCATCACTTTGATCTCTATTTAACTCGTTATTAGCCAGAAAGTGCAGAAAGAAATGCGATGCATAAATAAAGCAATGACATGTTTCAGGTGCACAATCATCGGTTGTTTCTGGACGGTGAGGATTTCAATTTAAGAACATTTGCATGGCAAGGGTTGGGGGCTGAAACTCAGGCATGGTGTATAATCAAAGCGTTTTGAAAAATGCACATGATGGGATCTTCATTCAAATGATTCTAAATGAAGCCTGTGCCCTTCAAAAGAACTTTCAAAATAAATCCTGCTTGAAACGTTTGCAGCAGTCCAATTTGCTATCACATTGTATGGTGTCAAATTCTTCGTAATATGTAATGCGGATTGTAGCAGTCAGTTTCATTATTCTGCAAAGAGATTGTCAGCATTGAATGAAAAATCGCATGGTGCATAGAAACCACGCCAGATTTTTGTCTCCAATTCGATTAGTCATATATGTGCATTTTCTTCACATGGTGCTACTTTGTGATAATTTTGTCAAATCTTGAATTTAAAGTGAATTGACGCACAATCTTAACTTTTATGAAGGGGGATCTGTATTTACTGGGTTTGTCTTTCACCCGTACCCTTTTATCCTGTTTCATTCTTCAGTACTATCTGCAGGCAGACTGGGAGCAGATATTTTGCATAGTAACTTTGCTGTGATCTCATGAGGGGGAACAAGATTATTTGTTCATGATGTCCCAAGAGATATGTTATGATAAAACAGGGATTGTGTCATGATATAACGGGGACTGTATTAACAGGAGCTGTGCTGTGGAAGCCACAAAATCACAGATTGCATAAACCGGGGTCTAAATTGTAAAATTCACCAAAGCATTTCTAATAAATGATTCCTGAAGATACCTAGATGTTTCTCAGGCCAACCCTCCATTTTGTGTAGAAATAAATTGGACAGCAGAAAATATTACTTTTGGTATCTAAACATTATTTAAGGCCAGAATAAATACTTGAATATTACAGTAAGAATTTGCTGGTTGGTTCTCTGCTTCGTAGTCACGGTACTTTAATTGCCACTACTCTCGATACAGCAGTTCTTTGCAGTGAATCAGTTGAAGTGTACAGTATTGATAATAAGCAGATTTTAGCAGCAAACAACTCATTATACACAAAGTGGAACAGAACTTTGAATTCTCACAGGACATTCCATGATGCCAGCTGGCATAATTGAAACACTATCTCAGAGGAAAATTCACAAAACAAATGTATTTTTTAGGTTGCCATAATCATTTTAATTCTATCCAGTGTAGCTATTTACATATTCTCACACGCTGCGGCATTTGGAAGCCTGCATTTTATTTCAAGGCAGTCTCTCCATGGTGTTTAGTCTGAGGTATTATGGTATACATTTCCCATGTTTTGCAAGCATGATGATGCAGCAAATCAAAATAATAAGGAATTACAGAGTAAATGTATAATAGGTGGTATAACAAGGAATTAATTAAAAACTATGCAGGAAAGTGCATTATGTGATAGGGTAATTATCATTGGTGACAATTTCACGCTGGCTAAAATTGCTGTCAAACCAGTCAATAATTATTGACTGGACATGGGAGTGAAAATCTTTTCCCAGTTTTTGACAGAATAGTTGGGCTGCAGTGGTTAAAAATACAGTTGGTATTCTGTAGGCATTGTTTACTAAATAACGTCCTATCAATGTCATATTTCAAAGAACTAAGTTGACATCCGAGGTAGGGAACTGTGGCTAAACAAGCACTCAAACAGGAAAACCAAAGCTTAAATAGTGCCTTGAGATACGAAGAGCAGTTCCTGCAGGAACCTTGCTACATCAAATTGGACTGACAAAAACTGTGCTCTGACACAAGGTTACCTTGGTGACACAGTTCTTGCAGGTCGGTGACATATGGGGTTCCACACAGGAGACACATTTAAGCCTTGAGGCACTTTCTCTGGCAAGAGTAGCAGATGTCAGTCTGTCTCAGTTGGTGACACTCTTGCTTCTTAGTCAGCAGATTGTTTATTCAAACCCCACATTGGCACTTGGAACTTGTAGTCTAGGCTGACATTCTATTGTAGTACTAGGGGAGCACTGCATTTTTGGAGGTGATATCCTTCAGACATTATACCAAGGTCCCCTCTGTCTATTCAGAGGGAGATTAAGTCCCACAGCATTATTAAAAAACAAGGAGTTTCTCCCAAGATCCTGGCTAATTATTACCACAGATAAAACTGGTCATTCACTTAATTATTAGCAGCCTACAAACATACTACATTTTACAGTAAATCCTGTGAAGTGATTTGGCACTGTCTCCTGACATGAAAATCACTATACCAAATGCATGGATCATTATTTATGATGCAGTTTTACTGATTAAGGGCCTTTTGAACCCTATTTTTTGTTTTAGGGTTTTGAGATTGCCTGACAGAAATTTAGACCAATGATGAAAAACTAGGCTAATACTCTCTATTTGGAACAACCTTTTTTTCTTGTCCCTGCAGAACCTTCTTTGGCACTGGGAGAATGAGAAAAATTAATTCGATAAAATGAATCTTGAACTACTTTAATTGCCTATATTGTTTAAGTGCTTTTGGATGTCCTTTTTTGTCATACTGATGTGAAAGGCGCTATGTAAGTACAAATTGTATTGTAACTGTGGTGACTAAGTACAGACATCTTTAGGTAAGAAAATTATTATTTATGTTTGAATATTTTTATCTGCATTGCAAATGCACAGTTCCAAAAGAACAACGACTTGGAGAATAGCATCTTAAAGTGCTTAGCCAAACATCTCTATCTGCTGTTGTGTAAACTGCAATGAATTGCCTGAAAAATGTGATTTTTGAAAGGAATTCCCAGTCATATAACCCAGTGGTGATAAATTACAGAAATTACCTTGCTGCAACGTTTGAGGCAAGTTACAACAGTTATTCCCCAACAATATATTTCAAGTAAAACCTTCCATTAATTTCAACGTATATCACACAAGCAATGTAAACAAAACACAATACCATAGCCAGGCTGATTCATAACCCTAATACTAGTCATTGACTGTCGGCTAGGACCTGTTTTAGAATAAACTATAATTCCTGTCTGCCTATTCACGTGAACTTTGACACGTAAAACAATTTGAAGACAGTAGGGCATTGTCCTGCCCAACTATCCACCAAATAAAACTAGTCATTCACATCATTGCTGTTTGTGAGACATTGCTGTGTGCAAATTTGCTGCTGCGTTCACCAACAGAATATAGTCATGACACTTTAGAGTAAATCCTATGAAGTGCTTGGCGATGTCTTCCTCCACATGAAATATATTGTATCAATTGCAAGGATTATTATAACAACCAAAATTGCTCCCTCTTTCTCTCTCAATCTCTTTCTCTCCCTCTAATGAATTACCTGGTTCCTTTTCCACCATATCGCAAACATCCCATACTTCTATAATGAAACATTAAAAGCATGTTCTGCGTTTCCCAAATTAAACCCTGCATTTATTCCATCGTAATTAGTAAAAATGAAAGCCACAGATAACAAAATATGTAAAACACCCCTTCCCCTCTTGGGTTTGAGTAAGGGTATGCAGTTAAATAAAAGGCAGCTTAAATGACACCTGACACGAGAGAGTGTGTCCGAACGCAGAGTTCCTCTCCAGCAGGGAATCCCACATTTGTCATCCTGATGCAGGAGAACTTGTCTCTGATGAGATTTCTGGTCCCAGCCAAATTAGCGTGATGTTCATGGTGTTTCCTGAAGGCATATTATATCCCAAACCACTTTTTCTTGTGTGATGTGCCACTTAACAATGCCATCTTCCTGTAAAGTGCTACTTGAGCTCCAGCTTGCATAGCTGTAAATCCCTCTGACTTGCTCCCTCCCTCATGTCTTTCAAGGTAAGTAACCTGTCTGTGTGATCAGACAATTGGGGTCAACCTTGCTCAATTTATGTAAACATTTTTTTCAAAGTGAAACTGGAATTAGATAGATAGAACTTTGGTGGAAAGCAGATGATGTTGTTCAAGCAATGAAAATATTCTTAAACAGGTAGGATACAATGTTTATACAATCCAATTTACATTTGCATAGTGCCTTTCATGTTGGGAGGAAAGCACTTTAATTTCCTTTTTCTTTCTAACATTTTCATTTCAGGCCCAGAAAGTTGTGTGTTAACGTCTCAGACCGGGTCTTGAGTTTAAGTCTAGGCTAACACTCCGTTACAATACTCCTTTGTTGGAGATGCAGCCCTGTAGAATGAGATGTTAAACTTCAAATGCTTTGAGATGTCCTCCCAACCTGAAAGGTGCTATATATTAATGTAAATTGTATTGTATTGTTACCGGACAACCCACGTGTCTGTTTAGGTGAATGTCTGGATCAATAGAAAAGTGTAGCTGCCCTTTTCTGCGGAATCCACTACAAATGCCCTCCTCTGCTAAAAATGAGCTACAAACACACCCCTCCGCTACAAACCTTCACAAAATGCGTCTCTCAATAGCACCAATCATTTATCCGCAAAATTCACCAAATCCGCCGTATTTTTCCGGAAAAACGTGTCAAATGCCCTGCAATTTTGGCAAATATTTCCACACATTTTTATTGGCTCATGTGAATGTTAAAGAATTTATGACACTATTTGAAAAGAGAAGAGTTTCTCCCAGTGTCTTGGCCAACAATCCTCCAGATTAATTGTTTGTTCATTTCTAGGCTGTGGGACTTTTCTGCAGCAGCTGATGTTTTAGCCTATAGTCACATCATGAATGAGTGCTATGAGATATTTTGACATAATGTCCTACAGTGGAGTCTTGTAGCTCAGTGGTTAGAGCACTCGCCTCGCAAGTGAGAGACATTGGTTCTATTCCCAGCAAGGCAAAATGTTGGGCATGTCTCCTTACTCCACACGCCTCTGTTTACCTAGCAGTAAGTAGGAACCCCATGGATAGTCGATTGGTGAATCGCTTTTCCGGGGATAATAATTCCGCAAACAAAATAATAATTTGGTTACTCAATCCACAACTGTTTATGGGACACTGCTGAGCACAATTGGCTGCTGCATTTCGCCCACAAATATACAGTCAATTCTCTTTACAGTATATTCTGTGAAGCACTTTGAGACGTCTGGAAGATGTGGAAAGCGTTATATCAAATGCAAGGACTTTTATTATAATTTCACTGTAATCTCACTCTAAAGTTTTCTTTTAACTATTGATGTACATAAAAGTTATGACCAGAATCAGTGCACGGCACTGTTTTAGGATTGTTAATATTCTAAAGTCTATGAAAAATGATTACTTGTGGCGTTACAGTTTTCTCACATGCAAGTGGATAGAGTGCAATCATAACTCAATCCTGGAGCCAGAGATACACAAGTTTTCTTTGTCACTACAAAATGTGTTACTGTGAAGCAGCATGAAGCAATAGCAAAATGTCAGGTTTTTAAGTACACTGTTACCATGGTAACTATCCGCCTGATGGCTGCAGACGCCATCTCTTCTCCTTTTGGTTGTTCCACCAGAGTCATCCCGAGGTACTTCACGTGGAAGACCATCCCTTCCTGTAGAGACTCTTTTGTGTCGGTCCAGTTCTCTGGCAGCTCTGGAGTTAACAGAGGAAGTGAAGATGGTTAATTCATGAATATGGTGAAATATCTTCTCTGGAAGAGAAAAATCTCAATTGTGCACAGAAGTTAACACAATTTGGAAACAAATCCCTCGATGTCATCGGCAGCTACTGCAGGACCAAGGATCTAACTGAACATGAGTATGGGCAGAATAGATGGAGCATTTAAAAGAGAATCTAGAAAACACCTGATTAGAGGCCACATGGAAAGAGCAGAAATTGAGATTATGGTAGTTGGCTCCTTGGAGGAGCAAACACCAACATGAACAAAATGACCTCTTATTGTGTCTTACATTTGTATGGTTCTATGGCATGTTTCCTCTATGCTGTTCAAGCTAATGGTTATGGGAAACATAACAGAACCCTTGACACCATCTATGTACAAAGTCAGCTGTATAAACAGTCAATTGTGACCTGAAGCAATCATTTGGTTACAACATTGACCTGACATTCGTGGCTAATTGGTAAATTTGAATTGACCTTGGTTGTGCACTCTTAATGGAAAATACCCAATGCAGAACTCAAAGGTTAGTAAATTTATCAATAAGCAGTTAACTCATTATTTCCTTTATAGCCAAGTATAGCCGAGTATTGAGATGACACTCTTTCACGGATGAATTACATATAACTTAAAAGGCTGCTATAATACAACCTTAATAGGGTTTAAAAAAAATCTATTCTTCCAAGTGTACTCTTCAACACATGTCATGTAGTTTGGGAAAATAGGAACGGGAGGAGGCATTCAGCTCACCAAACCTGTTTCACTAGTTTATTATAGTTTAATAAACGTTTTAATCCACCCCGCCCTTTTATCATACTTCGTAATACTACTACCACCCATGTATCTGTCTATCTCTCTTTACACATTATATAGTAATGCCACAGCAAGCAGTGAACAAGTTTGCCAAATAGTGCTGATGGCAAGCTATGCGGTTTTAGCTGATGAGACTCCAGCAGTATCCCAACACACACTCTGGAGTCCCTAAGCCTTGGCTCTTGCTAACCTGCACCTAATACTTTCCAGAATTAGGTGAGCAGAATGAGCTCCTCCAGGAAGAGAGTGCATGTTCCATTCCAACAATCTATCTCTAGAATATCTATGGGTAGGTGGGATGCATGGAAATCTCAGTTTAGGTTGGATACTTTAAGCATGGTGATGCGTTTCCGTGTGTGTCAGATCCCCGGCTAACCAAAACAATGTCCAGCTGTCTGGGGCTGGATTAATTGACATCTTCACAAACTTATCAACCCTGTGTGAAAAAAAATGTTTCCTCATCTCAGTCCTATCTGTCTTGGCTTTGATGTTAAGTTTATGAGTCCTTGTAATCCTGCCCCATCCATAGAAACTGCCTCCAAAACTACCATTGTGAGTCTCAGAAAACCATACCTTACTCTGTTTTATATATATGAAACTATTGAAAATGTGACCATTGTAAATTCAACTAAACTATGTCTTTCCTTCCAGGTTCCATATCGACCACAACCACACACCATATCTTTGTTATGCACTTCCACCAGCCAAAACACAATGCTTTGGCGAAGGTTCATTCTCTAACACTTATCCACTGTCTTTCTCACCAATTTTCACTTCTGGTAATACTCCTCTTTGTTCTGCAGTGTATTTTATTTTATAGTTGCCCGCCACAGTACCTTAAGTACCATGTTTCTACTTAATAGAAGTGACAGCACTAAGGAGGTGAATTGAGTTCCTGCTTTCGGTTTTCTTAATTATATTTAAATTCTAGTTTTAATAATAATAATAATCCTTGCATTTGATATAGGGCTTTTCACGTCTTCTAGATGTCTCAAAGCGCTTCACAGAATATACTGCAAAGTGAATTGACTATATATTTGTGGGCAAAACGCAGCAGCCAATTGCGCACAGCAGTGTCCCACAAACAGTCGTGGATTGAAAATGTCCAATTTATTATTGTTTTTTGTTTTTGGAGGGATTATTATTAGGTGTGTGGAGTAAGGAAACTTGCCCAGGGTTTCGCCCTGCCTGGAATTGAACCCAGGTGATTCGCTTGCAAGGCGACTGCTCTAACCACTTAAATATAATATATAAATAGAAATATATTATATTTAAGTAATATTCATAGCACCACACTGTGATGGGCTTCGGGACTTCCCCAGGGTTTCTGAATGTAAAGCCCAGTTATGAGCATGTTACTGGCAATGTGCTCCTTTCTATCTACTGTACTTACAAACCAGGGTAATTGTCTCAACATACAGTTCACTTGAAACAACAACTCGGATTTATATAGCTTCCTTGATGCAGGATAGCCTCTCGGAGTGGTATAAGATGGCAGAGTTGGATGCTGAGCAAGAAAGAAGAGGAGGTGGATGGATTTCTCAACCCTTTCGTGCATGCAAGAGTTTGAAAACAGCAATTTCAGTGTTGCCAAATAAAATTAATGAACAACTGATTTCAGCAGGATTTCAATTTGCTGAAAGTTTCAAACGCCTGCAGATGATCAGTAACAATCCAGGTATAATTTGACAGGTCTGAATTAACCTTATGTTATTGAATATAAAGCAACGCTGACATTTCAGCTATTGAAATGACATTTCTGCAATCATTTATAAAGCATTGAGATCAGAACCAAAAGCAATTTATTATTTACAGCACCAACAATAATGCAGCACAGATGGTTGTATGCACAACAGACTAATGTATAATACTCTCTTGAAAGGCACAGGGAAGGTTTTTTTTTAAATAAGCACCATTTTTTGTGATAATTTACTTAATTTTAATTATTTGGAAATGTTACTGTTATTTTACAATGTATTTGACTTTAAAGATAGACAGGAGCAGCCTTTTCTAAACATTATTCAAAGAATGTTTAACCACTATAAAAATGGTACAGGTTCAGACCCCCAAATCATCATTACACATGTTTTTCCTTGAAAATATGCACGAACATTCATTATTCAAACTATGGAGGATTTTAGTTCTCATAAAAGAATGCATTGCAGGAAAACATATTGTATTTCTCCCACTTGTCCTCCTTTTACGGATTATTCATATCCTAAAACGAGTTAAACAAAATAGAGATGGATGCTTTCTTTCCCAAACATATCTCCTGCTGGTGCAAGGCTTCGGGGCTATATTCACACGCACTCACACATGTCTTTTCTAATTAAATTCAACAATTCGATCTGTTCCCAGGATGGCCTTCCTCTCCGGAGAGCGAGGAGTGCTTTGAAAAAAATAACTCTTTCGTGTGAAGTAAAACATTTCAATCAGTTCTGTTTCTGGAATAAAACAAATTCTCAGCAGTTTTTGGAGGAGTCATTGTCTCCGATATGGAAACATATAAAGTTTTTTTTGTAAAAAAATAGAAATCAAGAGCATTTTTTTTATCCAGAGAGTTGTTACGGTCTGGAATGCACTGCCTGAAAGGTGGTGGAAGTAGATTCGATAGTAGCTTTCAAAAGAAATTTAGATAGGTACTTAAAAAGGAAAAAAAATGCAGGTCCATGGGGTAAGAGTGGGAGAGTGGGACTATTTGGATAGCTGTTTCAAAGAGCAAAATGGGCTGAAAGGCCTCCTTCTGTGCTGTAAGATTCTATGAATCTATTATTCTATAAGAGCTGCCTCGATTTTTCTCCTGAGTGTTTCTGTTGGTACAGTATGACTATAGGTCAGACTTGAAGTATTACCCACAATCACACAATTTTATAATCTTTACGGCACAGGATCTGTTCTGGTGCTAGCTCCTCCACTGGAGCCATCTACTCTAACCCTATTTCCCTGCTTTTTCCCCATACCATGTAATATTTGTTTTCTTCAAGTATTTATGCAATTCCCTTTTGAATGCTGTAATAGACCCACTTCAACATCTATTTATGGTAAGGCATTCTATATTCTGCACACTGCAAAAAACATTCTTCTAACACCCCCTTTAGTCCTCTAGTGATAATTTACTCTGTCTTGTTGCTGACTTACCAAAACCTTGGTAAAACCTTGAAAACCTCTATGAGGGATACCTCCTCAATCTTCACTTCTCCGGTTGAAAAATCCCTACTTTTAAATTCTCTCAGCAAAACTGTAACCTGGGATCCTACTCCATGGTTATACAGTCAAACTCATATAAATCATATCAGTCAGGACCATAACATTTAATATGACTTTCGGGAAGTCCAAGTTCCAGGCAATCTTATATAAATTGAATAAATCTGAATTCATCAATAATCTACAATGCGCATGCATAATTCATTGAAGGCAGTAAATGCATATGTAATACTTTGTCACTGCAGCCAGTAAGTGAGCATGCATTGGAATCACATTGAATCGTGGGAAATGAAATTCTTCTGCTCATGCATCGATGGATCAAGACCAGCCAATAAGTAATTTCCCGCGATTCAGTGCAGCAGATAAGTGTGGGAGTAATGGTGGATAGGGGCGAGGCATTAGAAGTTAGGAGATGATAAATCTAAGTGGTTTTGATAGGAAACTGAATGATAATAATAATAATCCTTGCATTTGATATAGTGCCTTATCACGTCTTCCAGACGTCTCAAAGCGCTTAACGAAGTATATTCTAAAGTGAATTGACTGTATATTTTGTGGGCAAAACGTAGCTGCCAATTGCGCACAGCAGTGTCCCAATAACAGTCGTGGACTCAGGTGCATATTCAACATAGGCAATTTTATAATTTGTAAAGGTAAGACTTTTACTGTACTCACTCTAGTGCATACAGTCATAATACTCTCCACTATATAAAGATTTCCTTCTGTTTACTCACAGTCATAGGAGCTCTTCAGCCATTAAACTCAACCTTGCAATCGTTTCTTGAGATATGAATTATTAATTTGAAAGATTTTCACCATGCTCTTTTCAATCCCCAGTATTTCAATTCCACATAAGACATATTTGGAACTTCTTTTTCTCTAATTACTCCTTCAATCTTGTGTGTAATTCACACATATGACATGTGAGTGCAGTATCAGACTCAGTATTCTCCACCAT